GACTAGCTGAAGCCTATGTGAACTAAGCCTTATAGTCAATATGCACTGAACTGCACATGCAAAAGGTTTGTAATTGCTTCTATTTTAGTGTCATTCCAAAATTGTATCATTCACACTCAAGATATATTACTACTATTTATAAATTAATTAAAAAAATCACTCTGCACCTACTTTTCAATATAAGGTCAATAGAATTGACCATTGTGGTGCTAAAACCAGTTGCACAAATGAAATGAAGCTTTAATTGGTTATAAAGTTGATGGGATCACTTAAATAATGTAATACGCTGCTAGCATGGCATTGTGTGATAAATGCTAACACTGGTTTGTTAGCAGCCAGGATATTGGAAATTGTATCTATGCCAAACCATATGTATTGTTACAGAACTTGAATATCTGAAAAAGCTATTGGGAGCTAATTACATTTGTGAAAACATTCACTATATATTTTTGTTGTCTGCCTTTTGTTGTCTGTTTTTAAGTGGAAATGTGGACTTCATGCCCTCATTTTTACTTTAAGAACCTGAATCTGATTGCATGAGTGTTTTATGCAGGGTTAAGGGCTAGTTCACACCAATTACGTTGCGTTCCAGAGCGGTAGCTACTGGAATACACTGTAATAGCACACTAAACTCCACCCTTCGTTCAGGGGTGGGAGGGGGAGTGGTGGTGCATTGAAGTCAATGGCACCACAGCCACACCCCCTGCCCACAGTGCGATCGGACTAGGGGCAAAACTAGGGGCAAAACATTGCCGCAGCGGTCCAGTGTGAACGCAAAGCAATGCTGCATGCTGTATTTTTCTGCGTTTGCACTGGACCGGAGCGCAGGCAATGTTTTGCCAAGCAACTGATTGCACTGCAGGTGAAGGTGTGGCTGCGGTACCATTGACTTCAATGCGCCACCACGTCTCCTCCCGCCCCAGAATGAAGGGGGGAGTTTAGTGTGTGATAACAGTGTGTTCCAGCAGCTACTGCTCTGGAACGCACCATCATTGGTGTAAACTGGCCCTAAGACTGTGTTAGTTAAGGCTCCCTAAACAATACTGCCACTTCTTGCTGCAGGGCTCATATGCTGAAGTGACACTATTGCAGAATGCACATAATATAATTGTCATTCTCTACACACAGTGTTATTGTACATGAGCAGATCCAGAGTCTCCACATGTTGTTTTTTAAATTATTGGGTTCTGGGCTAAAACTAGCCACTTCAGTCTCTTCACCATCCATTGAAGGGTGAGCAGTTTGGCTACAAACCATGCAAGATTCCTCCTAAAACTGGGAGAAATCACGTATTTTTTTTGTACACAACCAGGGAAACTTGGAGCAAAGCCAATTTAACTTAGAGGATCATAGCTGGCAGCATATTAAAATGGCAAATAACAAATGGCAAATAATTAACCACATTCAATACTTTGAGCCACCAACTAAAAACAAGTATGTGAAACCAAAAAGTCAGAACATTTTATTTGCATACTTGTGTAGCTCCGTATTGAATAAATATAGGCAGTATGACACCAAGGCAGGAGCAGACATGTGTGCAGCGTTCCAAAGGCACTTTAGGGTTTAGGGGGCCATTCATATTAGGTGTGGCAGTGATGAATGCTGGAACCCCTTCCACTGTTGTGTAGACCTGGAAACATCACACGTAAAGTCAAACTCTGGGCTTTGTCCACCCCCAATCAAGTACCTCTGTCAGGATTTTAGGCTTTTTTGCCTTTAAATGCATCAGATGTCATCAGGCTGGTCATTTGATGCTCAAGGTCGTCTTCTTAAAATCTTCTCACGTGATCTGTAGTCTTCAGTGATGCAGAGAGCAATGCTGCTCTCTGCATCATTATACTGTGAGTGCAGGGCACTGTGCGGGTAAACCTCCTCAGGGTCTGGCCCTTGAGGCCCTGTGCTCAATGTTTCCTCAGGCTTTCAGGCATTCCACTCAAAAGACTAAGTATATCTAGTGGCAGAAAGAAATACTACTGGGGACAGGGTGAAATGGAATTACAGTGCTGTAGAGGAAGTGAGTATTGGAGGAAGTAAATTTACGACACTTGGGGCTTCTCTTAAATATTAGACTAGATTTGGCCTTTAAGTCTAGCTATGAGTAGACAGTAAATATGTTTTTAGCTGGCCAGTAGCCAAATGGAGGGGCCCAAAAAAAACGAGGTTTCGCACAGTGGCCCTTTGGTGTCTCCTATTACAGACAGGCAACTAACAAGTTCAGAAGGAAAGCTCAACTATGACAGCTTAGTATTTTTCTCACATATATGCTTTAATTGTTAAATTAATGGCACATTGATCCTAAAAGGATAATACGTATGCCATCTTGAAGAGTTTCCTTTGTTACATCATCACTGATTGTCTTTTACATTAGTGTATCACAACAGTACAACCAAGTGATTGGGCTAAGACATCTACTTCTGCTTCTAGATTACTTGCATACTAATGAAGACACATAGTAGAGATCATCAGTAAATGGACAGTTCATTAGACATTTGTAAGAGCACTTTAGGTACAACACATCTTGAGAATTTGTGATTTGTGTCATGAAAGTGTAAAATAGGAAGGAAATGGAAGCCTCTCCACATGCCATTAATATAATAAAACCAAGAGCTTCTACTGATGGGTACATTACATTATTATAAAAATATTCACTGAAAGATTAAATTGACTTCTAATTATACATTCCACTTAAGAGTATACTTGAGAAACTGCTATCTATTAACCTTTTTGTCTTTGCCTTTATCACAAACATTTCCTGCATTTAAGTGTTTTTTGGTTAGAAGACAACATTTAGAGTTTTACAGGACACTTAAAAGGTAATTGATGACAGGGTAATTGGGATTTTGAATCTATGCTACCCATTACTGTCCCCGTTCACTGTACATGGGGTGCCATCATTTTAATAACTTGGCATCCAAAAAAAATCCATTAGTTAAGTTCACAACAGGCAACTCATGTGCTTTAGCAGTGTCTGGGGACAGAAGGATGATAGCAGTTTCAGTGGAAGATTTATATATTTTGGGATTCACTAGCCACTGATGCCAATTACTCTAGACAAAGTTGGTAACGATACAAAAAATAAAAATAAAATGTCACTATGGGTATGACCACACTGCTCTGATATTTTGTGCTTTTGCTTGTTTATAATATGCAATCATCTGATTGTTGAGTTTGTTTGGGGGAAGAAAAAAATGTGTTAAACCATCCCTAGGAGCACAGTAGCAGACTTTGAAAGCATACAGTGCATCTAGTAGCCTGCTCTTGAGACTTGAGTAGTCAGTTGCTTTTTGCTGTATATGAAAAAAGAAATTGCACTTTTTTTTCTAGAAATCACACTTCAATGAGTTTTATTACTAACATGATGCAACGAGCCAGCATGTGCAAAACCTTAATAGCAACTGGTCACAGCCTGGGTTCCCATTGTCTAACAACCGTGTGCTGAAAGCTGGTATCAAATTGCTTGGTGTCAGTTACCACACATCATTACCTTTATATTATGAAGTCTTAATGGAAATCTGTTAAGGTTTAGATTGGAGCGATCACTGTTGACCTTCCGATTTGAGGAAGTGCAAATTCTGGAGCACATCCTATCAGTTCCTTTACTATTTGGTGAGCCTCTAACCTAGGGGTAGCCAAACTCCGGCCCTCCAGCTGTGGTGGAACTACAAATCCCATGAGGCATTGCAAGATTCTCACAGCCACAGACATGATTCCCGGAGAGAGATGCATCATGGGATTTGTAGCTTCACCACAGCTGGAGGGCCAGAGTTTGGCTGCTCTAACCCAAAAAACATGTGTACAGCTCATGTCCCTTTTTAATGTAGCAATCGATTAACCTTTGCATATTGGGTATCAAAAGAATAAGAATAAAAGCCCTGTTGCTTTAACTTTGAGCCCTTTTACTGTCACTGCAATATAAGGGTTAAATCAGAATAGAATGGCTTGCAGGTGCCTGGTTCAGTAGCCCTTACCTCTGCTGCATTCTTAGATGTATACGCTCATGGTCACTTCAGTAAACACACATCATATGGTTGCTTCAGTGCACTCCTGTCACTGTGGATTGGGTGTGAAGCCATTCTCCAGATGTATTGCGTAAGTTACATCTAGTTTTGCATACTTTTAATAGTTTTGCATACAATTTAATATTTATAAATATTCCTCCCACCAACCGCCACATTGCTGTAGGACACAGTAGTCATGTGGAGGTTAAGTGGGAGGATCCACTGAGTGCAGAGTAAGACCAGCAAATCAACCCTCCTTGAATTGTCAGTTTGTCATCAAACTTTAGGCGGTGATATGACTTCAATGGAGTGGCATTCAGTGGTGCTTGCAGCCGGAGAGGTAAATTGACATTTTGCAAAAGGCTACCTTAACGATAGGTCTTTAGTGGCAGCACCCCTATCCCTACTTTGCCAGTTCTTTTAAATAAGCCCCTGTTTATTTTGTGTTGGCTTCAATTTTACTTACTGTCTGTATGCAAATAATCTCCTACTATCTAAAACACAACTTGCAGTGGTATCCCATGATCCATATAGCCTGGAATTCAGTTAATCCAGAGAGAGAACCTGGAAAGGTCGATTGATATAACAGCTGTACAATTTTTTTTTCTGTGACCTTTAAAGCAAACTGATGTTTTACCCATGCAGGAAAAAGAAACAGGTTTTCTTTAATGCCCCGTTCCCCAGCAGCAAATATTTACTTTTTCTTCTCTGAATCCCCAGGTCAGCCAGCAGTAGGGAAAGCAGGAAATCTTGTGTATGCTATAAATTGTCATAACTGCAGCTTACACCGGGCTAAAGATGGTCTGTTTCTGCCTGCACGTGCCAGTGCTTTGCACGAAGGGTAAAATCATCTCAAATGTTGTTCAGTATTTGGTGGATGCTGAAGGCTGTTTTTGATGAAGAGGGTTGGACCTTTCAGCATAAAGAATTGTGTGCTAAAAATAGTAAGTCCATTTTGGGAAGAGCTTTTTTTAATTGTTTGTGGTGTTTTATGTATTTCAGCTTGTGACTTGATGACACAGGGGATTTTAGCCTTAGTGACATCTACTGGTTGTGCCTCAGCAAATGCCCTTCAGTCGCTTACAGATGCCATGCATATCCCTCATATCTTTGTACAACGCAACTCAGCTGGATCTCCACGCACTATTTGCCACCTTAATCCTAGCCTGGATGGAGAGGAATATACATTGGCTGCCAGACCATCAGTTCGCCTCAATGATGTCATGTTGAAACTGGTTACTGAACTTCGATGGCAAAAGTTCATAGTGTTTTATGACAGTGACTATGGTGAGTACTCACTGATTTTGATAACATTTATATTTTTTTTACAAAGTGTAATGAAAGGGAATATTGCACTGCACTTAATTTTGGAGAGATGAGTAGGCTACTGTAGGGATTGTAATGATGGCAATTTGGGAAGTAGCATTAAACTACACCTATATAAGTATATGTTCAGCCAAAAATTTGTGGAAGGATTATAAACCTTGCCAGTTGTTTTTTCTAATGTCCGAGGCTCCATTAGAATGCTGTATCCTTATATGCTGTCCTGTTGACAGCATTTTACCGAACAAGAAGTGAGGGGGAAGGCTCGATCCCTTGTCAAAATTGTATTTCAGTCTGTGTCCTTTTGTAAATTTCTCCTCACTTTCAGCCTGTTGAAACTGTTGACAGCAGGACAGGAAGTGAAAGGAAATCTCTCTAAAGGAGCCCTGTATAGCATTAAAAATGTAAGAGGTTCTTTACTTTTTCCACTTTAACTATTCCTCAATTAAAAAAAGGTTTTTGGCTTGACATACACTTCAAGAAGACAGCTGATTGTGGGTTATGCTGTACAATAAGGAACTATAAAAGGATGGTCAAAAAATCCACCTGGTAATTATAATGTATGGGCAACAACAATTGCTCTTCCATATGTCTTCTCAGTCAGTTGTATTCTGTCATTCATTGTTATTTCTATATTGCAGGGAAAATACACACTAGGAGAATCTAGTAACTTATTTTAGGCAACAACAACAGTTCTCAACCTTGGACATAGTTATTTGTAATCTATCTTCTGCTCATATTTTGGTTGGAGACGGTCTAAATTTTCACTTCAATGTTATGTGAATGCCAGATGGAGCCTTGACATCTTATAACCCTAGGTGTTCTTTAGTCCAGTATTTTGCTAGCTACACAAAAAACAAAATGACTGATAAGCAGCAAGGTAATGGGGTTCACTGTATATAGTCATAGTAACACACGCTGAATGGGTCTCTTCAGAAAGCTTATGAGTAAATGAGGGTTATGTTTGTATTCTGATTTCAGTGTTCATGCCATTCTGTAAGAATTCAACAAAAGATAACAATTAATAAAATTATAACTGCACTTTACAGAGTTATGCATTTGTACTTGTTTCCAAATCCTTTGAAAAATGGGTTACCTTTATTGAAGAGACAATCTTGTTTTAGCGGTATGGCCTGCAGCCTCCTAGAGCTGTGTTTATAAACCTGAGACACCAAGTTTGCATATAGTGCTTCCGAGTATACCGGTGTTCTATTGAAAGTTCCAACTTGTCGAGATCTCCAACGACCTGACTTCCGGTTTAGTTAGAAGTAAGAGGTTTGGCCGAGAAGTCTCTACAACACGTGCGCCACCCGCGGCATTTCCCTACACACATACTACACAGCAATAAAGTATTATAATGAACTATATATAATGAACTCAATATTATATACTCAATATTCAGTGGGTCAACTCAGATTAATAACATACTGGATTAGTCTGACCCTAGTTCATTATAATACTTTATTGCTGTGTAGTATGTGTGTAGGGAAATGTTGCGGATGGTGCATGTGCAGTAGACCCTTCTCGGTCAAACCTCTTCTAACTAAACCGGAAATCAGGTCGTTGGAGATCTCGAGGAGTTGGAGTTTTTGACAGAACACCGACACCAACCCCTATTATTTATTAAAAAGCCACCAAAAATTCATGCAGGGTTTTTGGGGTGCCAAATGAAACAGCCAAAAGAAGATATTTAAAATGTAACAACTTTTATTCACAAGTACCACAAAATCACTTATACACAAAACATAAAAGTAGAATACCATTATATCTTATGTTGGTTAACACACTCTACTATTCACCACCTGTCCATTGCCACTCCATGAAAAGAAAAGCCAAAATGTAAAACATGTATACAATCTTGTCAAAAATGCAACATATATAATCTTGATGTACTATTCTTTGGAGTGGTGCTGGCTTCGACGAGTTGTATGCATTATTTGTGCTTCATCAGGAAGTAGAGGTGATCTGTAGCAACCATAGGGATATACCAGGTGAGTGACAACAAATAAATAGATACAAAATGGGTATCTCCCCCATATTTGACTATTTTTAGACATACCACATAAACGGCATCAAGCTTCATAAGTCTGATGCTGGCATCAAGGTACGTGCACCCAGGAATCTCCAAACAGGTACCAATGACCGATCTGTAAGTCACCGTAGGGGAACCAATTACGAAGTACCCACGAAAAGTTTCTGGGCATCTACCCAAAGTATATTATAGACATAACAGACTCTTAATTATTGAAAGGATAATACCCCCACCAAGCCTCGCAATATCCCATATATCGATTCCCAGGCACACGTACCTTGATGCCAGCATCAGACTTATGAACTTTGATGCTGTTTCTTACGTGGAATGTCTAAAAATAATCAAATATGTCAACGGAATACCCATGTTGTATGTATTTATTTGTTGTTGCTCACCTTGTATATCCCTATGGTTGCTACAGATCACCTCTACTTCCTGATGAAGCACAAATAAAGCGCGAAACACATCAACGCCAGCATTACTTCAATGAATAGTACATCATCAACACTATAGATTTGTTGGATTTTTGACAAGATTGTGTACATGTTCTATATTTTGCCTTTTCTTTTCATGGAGTGGCAATAAGAAAGGTGGTCAATAGTAGAGTGTGTTAACCAACATAAGATATAATGGCACTCTACTTTTATGGCTTTATGTGTAAGTGATTTTATTGTACTTGTGAATAAAGTTGTTAATTGTTGAATATTTTTTTCTGGCTGTGCCATTTAACACCTCAAAAACCCTGCATGATTTTTTGAAGGTTTGTGTTTATATACTGCCCTGCTGTGAATAAAAGTGGAGGGCTATTAGTAGGGCAAGAGCTTCTAATTTAGCCCATTGCTGAGTGCTTTAAACAACACTCACTGTTGGTGCCCAAGAGCAGCTGATGCACAGCAAAGCAATGTGTATACACTGATCGGGAGGTTACAGGCCATGCAACTGGAAAAAGGACTCTCTTCTGTAAACTTAATCTACCTATCCTACTGCTATTTCTTTCAGCGGTTGCGAGGACAATGTATATGTGCATTTTCTTTGATGGAAATCAAAGCTGTGGGAAATGCATGGGCTGCCATTGCCTACTATTTTCTGTAAATGCTAACTGCTTGGCTGGCTTCTAGCAATCCTAAGGCACATACATGTTCCAGTTCAGTAACATTAAGTTCTGCATCTGAAGCAAGCAGCATTTCTTGAAGGAGCGTTTACAAATTGTAGCGTATGCATTTCTCTCTGCACAGATTTACTTTGAGTGACTAGAAAACTATTAAGCTAATTTCATGTGAATGGTCCACAGCTATGTTATACTAGAGTATTACTCTGCTAATGTGTCTGTCGAAAAGTGTCTGCATTTTAAGTGGTTGAACAGATAGCATGCTGGTTAGAATAAAGTAAAAACTCAGCAGGTGTATTATAGAGTTCTGAAGTGCTGAGGATTTAATGTTTATTAATGTTTAAAAAGTGAATTTGCTTGCTTTTTTATAATTACAAACAGATAACCAGCAAGTCCTATGAAACCGCCAGCAAATGTGACATTTGGTCTACCAAGAGTATTGTGAAATGCTTAAATGCTTAACAGTTTGATACTTTAGCACACCAGCCTGGGATAGTTCAGACTTAGACAATGTGTTAACGGCAGTAGTGTAAAACCTGCTAGGTTACAAGTTCAAAGTTTCTTCTGGGGAAAATGAAGGTTGGCTCCATAGGGAAATGTAAATCTGTAATTAATTGTGCAATATTTTATTTTGTCTATGTGTGTGTTTATATTTATGAGGCTTCCACCTAAAACAATCAAATCCTTGTGATATTGCCTACTGACATTCAGTCATTGTCCTGTCTACAGGGTGCTACAATTGTAATATTTGGTAATATCAGGGACCACACGTGAGGCTCCCTATATCAACTGGTCTGGACAATGTGTTGTAATTATGGCACTAGCTTTATGTATATACTGCTTGCATTACCTCAAACCAGAAAATGTTCTACATGACTGATGGATATTTTGTCCAAATTTGGTAATCATGCTACCCACATTGACTTTGCAATTAAAATTGGTGCTGCCCTCTTATATTTATAGTGGTCTTTGAAATTATAGTGATTTATAGTGGTCTTTGAAATTAATAGGGAAAGCCTGACACAGGTAAGCTATGTGACTGAGGCGAAGTTAAAAGGAACTGCAGCACTTTGTTATGGAAGCTGTCCTGTGTACTGCCTTTGCGGAAAGTTCTGTGAAGATTTGCTGTGCTTGTTACTGGTGTTGATACGGAGATGGTGAGCTTTCAACTATCTAATGCTGCAATTTCACCTTTTGCTACTAGAACAGTAAAAGTAAGGGTGAACAGGCTGGCATTACAAGTTGCTTGGTTGTGCCCAGCAGCAAAACATTTGTTGATCCCGAGCTACTGAAACAGCCAAGAAAAAGTCTAGCCCTCTGTATCTCGGGAAGCTTTTGTCAGCAAGACACCAATTGTTGAAAGTATATGAATTGCATGGCTACTACTGGGATCCATTGCCCCACTACATGGATGTTTTACTGGCAGCGCAACAGTATTCTGCCTAGCCTGGTGAGAGTTCACTAGACAACTGAACACACCAGAAGAGCTGGTGAATTATGCTGTGCTTGCCAATACCTCTTTTTGGGAGAGACCAGCTCGTCACCACTGCACACTGACTGGGGTATGTCCGGGCCTGCCACAGTCGAGGCATGCAACTACTGAAGCTGACATCAGAAGATAAAAATGAAAGCTGCCCTATACCTGGGAAGATTCCGGTCATGGGGACCGGTAAGCAATTTAGGTTTATAAGTGTACCCATTGCTTTAGGTCCTGCCCCAGCTCCTAGTGAGCTTGTTCTGGCAGATATTCTAGGTACTTTTTTTAAAATGTAATCTTTATTGAGATTTATAAGAATTTTGATAACAGACAATTACATTCATCAC